AAGAAAGATGGCAAATGGAGGATGTGCACGGATTGTAGAGCCATCAATAACATCACCATAAAATATAGGCACCCAATCCCTAGGCTAGATGATATGTTAGATGAGCTACATGGGGCCATCATATTCTCCAAAATTGATCTTAAGAGTGGTTATCACCAAATTAGAATCAAAGAGGGTGATGAATGGAAAAACTCTTTTAAAACCAAGTTTGGTTTGTATGAATGGTTAGTGATGCCTTTTGGAGATCAGGTGTGAGGCTTTGGAATGGCAAGGAGTCTTTTGGGTAGCTGCTTTGAGAAGTGCACTACTACAAGATGCATATTCTACATCGGTTCTCTAAAGGCATCTACATCGGTTCTAAAACCGATGTAGAATAGAGCGACGTAGAAAATGTATACATTTTTACATCGATTTTCTTGATAACCGATGTAGATTGCATTTTTTAAAAAAAAATTATGCTTATTTTTGGATTATTTCTGATTACTTCTAGAGCACGACCAATTTTCAAGAATTTCAATAGTGCTTGGCAGTATTGTTAACTATTAAAATTCATCAAAAACTATAAAATAATGAGTGACACCCACAAAATCTCTTTCTTCTTACTGGTGTGGTGGTAAAGAGGTGTTTTATGCATTACTCTCGTTTTATCACTATATCTTTATCTTTAAATTAAAGTGTAATAAATTTTTAAATATAAATATTTTTAAATGTCAATAAATAAAGTAATCATATATTACAATTTAATATATTACTGAATTTGGCCTGGATAGATAATTTCACTGGAAATTAAAAAAGGTCTTCCAAGGAAAGAAATCCCTTAGATAAATAGTATTTCATATAAGTAAATTAATAGATTGTACATTTTAGCAAAAATTAATAGAAAGTACAAGTAAAGCAACATTTTTCATAAACCTCAAAGTGCACTTAAATGGAGGTTTCAACAAATAATCAATCGATTGAATCAATAATACAATTTGTATATAGCAAAAATACCGTTTGTGCAGCAGAGGTCGGTGGCATAAACAATGTCAAACCCCCATCAATGCCTAGTCGATTTCGAAACATCGTTGCTGGCCTTGGTGCAAGATATCTGGAGTGGGTATAAGTAAGTTCTAAATTTACTTAATAATTTATAACGAGTAAAAAAATCACATGCAACCAAGGAAATATAGTATACTAACAAATCACCCTGGAATAAAGGAAGAAGTAAAAACTGCATTGATGAGATCTTCCTTGGAATCAAACTGATCTACCAATAAACCTCTGGGTCTCCAAAGAAGTTGTGTCACAGCAACTGTGAAAGAAGGTACATTGTAAGGCACAACAAGACTTGAAAATTCATCACTACTAATAAAGAGAACTGTTAGGTCATTTTCTATCTATACTTTTTGGCCCAATAGTTTAAAAAAAAGAAGCTTATTTTCTTCTTTTCTTTTCTGATAATATTATAAACGGGCTATAAATGTAATTTAATCGATAAATATAAATTGTTGCAGACAACTATACACTATTTTTTCAAGTTTATCATGAGTTACTTCTACTAGTCCTAGAAAAATACAAGAAGAATTTCCAGTTTTGTTCTATGCCCAAGACAGTTCCATGACAAAAATAACTGAGGTGCTGCACATTCAATATTACCTCGAACTCTCCCATTAGATCTTATATGGACATCATCCGACAAAAACTTGTTAAGAATGTCACGTAGAACAGCCTGTGCATTGAGGTGAAATAAAAGAGATAAGAAGAAAAGAGAAAATGTAAGGAGAGAAAGGGATAGATGTGATGGATGATGAGATAAAAAAATGAAGACTAAGATAGAAAGAAAATGGGGTAGAAAGAATTGAAAAGAAAGAGAAAACATATGTATAATGAGTATTCATAATACGACAAAAGAAGAAAAAAATATCAAATAAGTATTTATATGAAGTGCACACCAACGAGGCCATATACACCATGCTAGCCAAATAATAAATTGAGGTGAAACAATATACCCTTGAATCTCCAACCTCAGGCACCAAAGATATGCATAGAATGTACATTGTCACATGCATTTTTCTTTCTTTTGGGAAAACCTTCAAACCTAGACAGCAGAAATTGTTCCCAAGTGAATGGGCACACCTACTGCTCACCAAGCACCTCAAACAAACTATTTCATAAAGAAGAGACTGCCTTACGGCACAAAAACAAGTATTGAGTTGTTTCTGAACTAGGGAAGCACATAATACACACATCAAGAGAAAGATCAATGTAAGGTTACAAACTTGCAATAGATCATTCATACAAATCCAATCAAGTACTACCATCTAGACAAAAGACACGAGTTTAGGAGTTTTGGATTACTTAATTATCTTGTGAATAAGGAATATCTAAAATTATTAGAGTGAGTAAAAAAAATCACACTACAAGAGTCGTTGTCTAAATATAGCAGAAGGATTTCTTGATAACTAAATTCCTTATTTTTAATCATAAAATCCAAAGATATAAGAATTTTGAGAATGAACAGACATATCACGCAAGGTACATAGATGGTCAAGGTGGAGAAAACCCTGTAAGAATGAAGCATTTCCAACCCAAACATAGGCATTGAAATTATCAGCATTCAAGCCCACCAGACCACTCTATGTAGCATATAACATCATTTAGAAAATCACCAATAATCTATAATATCTAAATGTTACAAGAAAGAAAGACAATAAACAAGCACGAGTAACAAAGACCAAATATACAAAGTAGTCTGAGAATAGAGGCATACCCCCAGGCGAAATGCAATCCCCCGATTCCGACAATCTTCAACTAATAGTTTAGTAGCAAGCAATTCTAGCCACAATCTTAGATGTCCTATTATCTCCAAAGCCAACTAATTTTTTCACCAGGCGTGGCCCAACATCAAGTCCTCTAGCCTCCTACAAGTGAAATAAATTTATATGTTTAGAACATCTCACATGATTCAAAGCTTATGTATCTCTGTAGCATGTGGTTAATGAGGGGAAGCATTTCCAGGCATTTTCTAAAAAACTTGTTCCCCTTCTGCAAGAGGCAATAGCTAGTGAAAAATATACGTCAATGGGCAAGTATATTGATGTAAAACCTGGTTTTGGACTGATGCCAACCATTATAACTTTAACAAAGAAGTTAATGAATGAGCCCCTAATTAATTAGGTTGTATAAAAAGGAATCCTCTGGTAATATTCATGAAAGTACTCCAAAATCCAGACAAATTTTTCAGAAACCCATAAATCAGCAGCACTATTACATCAATTTCTACCCACATATAAAAAAAGATTTATTCGAATAGACAATGATGCCTAACCAAAATACCAAACCAGCAGCTTTCAAAGCATAAAATGATTTTTATTACTAGATCAGTACGAGTCATTCTACTTATCACATATCCTATAATTGATACACATAAGCTGGAAAAAGATAAACAGTCTCAAGAAAACAGCCACATTATCATATTTACTGAGCAGTTTTTCACCAAATGGTAACATCTATTTGCAAGGAAGACTGAAGGGGTGGGTGTTACCTGGACTAATGGGATCACAGCCAAACATGCAGCAACATTGTCTGATGATTTCTCACATTCCCTCCATAGCAAATTGTGGGCTGGCATATCACCATATCTGGTTGGAAAGGAGATTCAGAAAATCAGTATAATTAACAAGAATTGGCAACAAAATTAAGTGACAACTACGCTTACTTAAAACCCAACTCAGCTAGCCTCTGTGCACACCAAGAGAACTGGCGGCTCTCATCATCAGCAACTTGAGCAAAGTCAGCAAAGAACCCCTCCCCTAGAATTTCATTGTAGGAAGAAAATCGGACGACAGTGTCCCATCCCAACCCAATCACACCATTCTTCCCAACCTCAACCCTAAACCCCAAATTCAAGCCAACCTCCTTCACCTTCGTCTCGACAGTCTCCACACTCTTATCGAAAGTGAACCGTTTCTCCCCCCGCCTCCCCTTATCCGACGTCGTTTCGAACAGCCCTCGCAAGTCCAACCCCGAGGACATGGAGATTATGTCAAAAGCGTTCATCACCAACTTATAACCGTGGCGGTGGCAGAAGCGGAGCGCGGAGACGAGCTGAGTGAAGTAGCGGGGCGCGAGGGACTCTGGGAGGCGGCCGCGACGGGAGAGCTTGGAGAAGAGCTCGCCGCCACCGGCGAAGTCCACGATGAGGTAGATCTTGGTCTTGGTGGCAAGGACTTTGTGGATTTTGAGGATGTTAGGGTGGTGCTGGAGGCGGTGCATGGCGTGAATCTCGTGCACGATGCGGGGCTCCATGGCGGCGTTGACCGTCTTGGACTTGTCGATGGCTTTTACCGCGACTGTGGTGTCGTCGAGCAGCGAGTGCGCCTAGTAGACCTTGGCGGCCGAGGAAGCACGTTTTAGGTTCGAGAGTGTGCGAGAGGGAGCGCGCATCTACTGAGTGGTCGCGGGGGCGGGGAAGAATTTAATCACCCCTTCTACATCGATCAACACAAAACCTGATGTAGAATAGCTCAATATTTTCATTTCTACATCGATCACTCATATGTAGAATTGTTTATATTTACATCATTGTTTAGAATAACCGATGTAAATATTCTTCTTTATTCAAGTTATTTACGAAACTGCCACCGCACATTTTTTTTACATCGTTTTGTAGGGAACCGATATAAATATGGTGACGTGGAATAGTGTTTTTCTAGTAGTGGTGGCTAGACTTAGAGCTTGACCAGCACCTAGGGTGTCTTATTTTGATACTTTTATGATGTTGTAATTATATTATCTTTTTGGATGACTGTATAACCTTGCTGAGGATGACTCTTTTATAAAATTATGTTTTATATTATGGAAACAATTTATATGTTATTGTATATTTACACTCTAGTGTAGCTGGTCTTTGCTCTATTTTCTTTATTATATATTATTTTATTCTAGTTATCATATTGGTTGTTGATGTGACGGCCTAGGGCGGGTCATTACAAAACTGGGGAAGCACTATAGATAAGGAAGTAGGGTAGCAACTATAACTCACAAGAGCACGACGACGAGGAAGCACGACAACAACAACTATGGGAAATGAGAGCACAACAAATACGGGGGCACGGTAGCAACAAAGATGGGAAATGAGAGTAATACAGATGAGGAAGCACGACAGCAATGGCAACGATAAACGAAGGGTTTTGAGATTTCTGTAGGGAGAGAGAACTCAAGCAATTAGGTTTAGGGGTTTCTCTTTGGAAATGTACGAGAGAAAGGTAAGTGAATGATTTTCATATTTTTTTGGGTAGAAATTTGATAGGGAAAATTTAATTTACTCTAATTTTTTCTATTTTAAAGAGAAAAAAAGGATTTAAGAGGCAAAATAAAAATTTTAATTAGAAGAGGTTATAAACCTCCATAGATTAAGTAAAAAAAAATTGCACTTTTCAACTCATTTTGCAACATTAAAATAAGTTTTTAAATTTTTAATAATTTACGGAGGTTTTTAAAAACCTCTACAAAATACCCTCCCTTATTTAGCATTTTTTTTGTAGTGACTTTAATACTAGCATGAAAGAGAATTTGTCTATGTAATATGCTCTTGTAACCATATTATATGTCCACAAAAGATTATCTCTTTTTTTTCATCTTAGTGACTTTATTTTCTTGTAAATAATTTATATATGTTTTTGGTGAATATGATTTCCAAATCTTATATTCAGTCTTCTGGTCTTTTTGTAACCGACATATATATACAAAGAGAGAAAGAGAGAGTTAGGATTCATTGACACCAAGTGTAATATTATTGAGCTTTTTTAATATATGATTGTCAATTTTCATAAAAAAATTCTTACATTTTCGACAAATATAAATTTGTTGGAAATATTTCATCAGTAATATAACTTTTCCTACGATTTTTTCCATCGAAAATATAAATTTTCCGACGGATAAATTTTCATAATTTAAAAAAATATTTAACATATTCTTTAATTCTGAATAATTCTTATATATAAAAATTTCATAAATAAAATTTAATATTTTGAGAGGTATCAATAATTCTTCACAAATTTCGTCATAAAAAATTTTAAGCTATTTGTGACAGAACTTGTGACAAAATATAAATGTTGACAAATATTTTGTCACAAAATCTCTTACTGACTTATTTATTATAGTATTATGATGCATTTTTGTGAGCGAATATTTATAGAGGAACTTAACCCGTCACTAAATCTGTCACTAATTTTATTTTTTTATTTAGTGAAAAAAATTATGACAGATCTTTTAGAGACAAAATTTAATCCATCACTAATTTTATTTTTTTATTCAATGACGAATCTTTTAGAGACAAAATTTAACCCGTCACAAAATCCGTCACTAATTTTATTTTTTTCTTCAGTAACAAAAATTATGACGGATCTTTTAGAGACAAAATTTAATCTGTCACAAACTTCAATAAATGGTAGTCCATCACAAAAATTAAAATTCCCTCATAAAATTCGTCATTATTAGTGACGATATTTTGTCCATCACAAACATTCGTCACAAATATTAATTTTTCTAGTACTGTATGTTTTTGGTGAATATGATTTCCAAATCTTACATTCAGTCTTCTGGTCTTTTTGTATCCGACATATATATACAAAGAGAGAAAGAGAGAGTCGGGATTTATTGACACCAGGTGTATGTAAGTCTAAACACTTACACCAAATCTTATAGCTTTTTTTAACTTTTTGTATAATGTAAATTTAATCGATCCAATTATTGAATTATGTAATATTATATTCAAGATCATGTATATCAAATTTCGTATGATTCCTAAACTATTTTTTATTTCATCATATTGTTTTATCTTAATGCGTAATATGACATTTAAAATATGTGTAAATATTAGTTTTTGGATAACATATATAAAAAAATTCAAATCATGTGAAATTTGATATGCATGACCTTGAGTGTAATGTTATATGATTCAACGATTGGATCAATTGAAGTTGCATTATATAAAAATTTATCCTGGTGTGTTTTTTGTAATTGATATATTTAAAAATATACTTATAATTATTAAAATATTTGATAAAGTTAAAAATATTTTATATTTGAGTATTAAAGTTTAGGGTTTAGGATTTATGATTTATATATAGGGTTTTGGGGTTTAGGATTTTAAATTTTAAAGTCTGGGCTTTAGAGTTTAGTGACTTAATTTTTTTATAATGAATTATTTTATGGTGAAAATGATTTATTTATAGTGATTGTTTTGTAACTAATATATTTAAAATTTAAAAATTTAGAAAATTTGATAAATTAAAAACATGAAATTTAAAATCTCACGAAGATTGTTGATAAATTTAAATTTGACATATTATGATTTATCTTCTTATGAAAATGATTTACATTTTGTTAGAGATACATTTAAAATTTAATTAACTATCTTGTAATTAGTCAAAAAATCACTCATTTTGAAGTTAACATATTTAGCTATCAAATTAAACATGTACTTTATCATACAGTTTTTGATGAGGGAAAAAACGTAGAAGAAAAAAAAATTATTAACACCATTTAACTATCAAAGTAAATGATTTATCAAAGTTTAAAAGAATTAGCTTTATCATGCAGTTTTTTTTATTTGATTGTTTACATAATTAGATGATTATTAGATGGATTCAAAATGAAGAAATATATTTTTCGATGAAGGGAAAACATAGAAGGGATTTTTTTTGTATTAAAACAATTAATTTATGAAACATCTAAATAGAAGCCTTAAAATAAAAATCATTAAACTCCGTCAAAGAATTGAGAAGATCAAAGAATAATTAAAACTTATTTGACAAAGAGTATATTTTTTACATGCAATGAAGCAAAAAGTAAATGTTAAAACTATCAAACACTATAACACCCATTTTTCCTATATTTTATTAATAATTTTGATAACTTTATTTTATTAATAGGGAGTATTAAATATTTATTTGATTATTCAATATATTTTACAATATAATATATGATATTTTATTAAAGGATATTATAATATTTATTAAATAAGGGAAGGAATTTTCATAATACACATGTTTAATATGTTTAATTAAAGGGTTCAAGGGAGGTTATATGGTTTTTAAAATAAAAGTTTTTTAATCTAACCCTTTTTATGCCATTATTTACACCTATGCGCTTCAGGTAAGGGGGAGCGAGAAACCTCACTCAGGGTGTGGGTTTGTATGCTGAATAGTAGGATTGGTCTCATTCCTATGTATGTTGTATGCCTGTGTATGAAGGGTTTCCCCTAATGCTTTTGTTTTGCTCCTTATTTTTCTTACTCATAATTAATAGCATGAATTCGTTAAGTGTGTGATTAATTTTGTGTTTTTGATGGTAATTGTATGATTTGAGGTTTTTGTGGGTTCCAATGGTAAACTCTAAGGGAACTTGATGTAATTTTAAGTAAAAATATTGGTTGTATGTGCAAATTGAATGATATTGCACATTAATTGCTTGCTATGGAACGCTTATACCGATTGAGTTGAATGTTTTAGTGATTTGAAGTGTGACTCGCAAATCTTGTGTTTTCTGCAACATGTTGTTCCTAATACATCATCGATTGCCACTTGGGCTCGTCGGACGTCATTGAGGCCAAGAGCTAAAGTTGCTCTTACGGTCTCTCACACTAAACATGGTATGACCCTCATTAGGTGTGGAAGATTTAAGGGTTCTCTATGACGCTTATGTCGAGTGGGAGCTGACTCTCACTAGGCGTGGACACTCTAAAGAGATCTAAGTGATGTTTTCATTAGACATGGATTCGTCACATTGGGCATCATCCTGCCTGCAAATTCTCTACTATTCTGCTATTAAATCCCATTGCTATAATTCTGTGTTGTGACATTGATGTAGTTATGCTATGATGTCTATATATGAATGTATGAATATGAATGATGAGTAATGTGATATGAGAAACGTGGTATGTGAAACTATGAGGTCATGTGAATGTAATGCATAAAGTTTGTTTGTCATGCATCATAGGCATAATAATATTTTTTTAAGGGTATGATATGAAATATATCGTCAGGGAAGGTCTCTTGTATAAAAGCTTGGGAACCAACCTTGGAGATAGCTTGATTTGGAAGTCTCAATCTTGCCCTCGTAAGCATGCGATATATCTTACATGGTTTAGCAATCTCGACTAGGGATGACAAGTAAATCATACTTGTGGATAATGCCTGAACCCATCCCAATTTAGACAAAGAATATTCAATTTGACCAAACACGAGTATAGGTAATACTTGATTCATTAAACTAGGTACGAGGATGGGGATGGGTATATACATACCCGCCTCGTACTCGTACCCATACTCATATCTGCTTAAAATTTATAAATATTAAATTTATTTTTTTAAAATTTACTTAGAAATTATGTAATTTTTTACTCTATTTTTTAATTTATGTCAAATAAAATTTAATAAATGTAATTTTGTAATTATTATTTTATGTTAAAATTCTTTTTTTTTATTTTTTATAAA